GCCTGTCAGGTGGTCTGTCAGATGTCTGTCAGGTGTCTGTCAGGTGTCTGTCAGGTGGTCTGTCAGATGTCTGTCAGGTGTCTGTCAGGTGTCTGTCAGGTGGTCTGTCAGATGTCTGTCAGGTGTCTGTCAGGTGGTCTGTCAGGTGGTCTGTCAGGTGTTTGTCAGGTGGTCTGTCAGGTGGTCTGTCAGGTGGTCTGTCAGGTGTCTGTCAGGTGGTCTGCACCTCTCACCTGGCTGCTGGTGCAGGTCAGGAACTCTCCGAACGGTTGGATGGGGCAGACCTTGTAGTGCTCGATCAGCTCCAGCAGGGAGCTGAACACCTGACTGTCTCCACCAATGACAAACTGWCCCTGGGGATTCTGGGAAATGACAAAATGACGGCACCTGTCGTGGCCCCTGGGGTTGGGGGACAATAATCAGATCAGGACCAGAACCAGAACCTGGAACAGGTTGAACAGACTGGGCTTGCCTCACCTGTAGGACAGGATGTAGCCGATGGTTTTATCACTGAGGCGGATGAGAAAACTGCCCAGACTTTTATCTTCTAACACATCTTCTGCCTCCCTGCAGCACAGAGAGGGGCAGCTGACACACAGGCAGGCAAATCAGGTTTAAAAATAACTCTGCTGTGGCTGACCCCCACAGAGACCTGCAGTCTGCTTCTAATGGCTTTATTACAGGAGTCCGCCAGAAACTCAGGCTTTTATTCTGAAAGTACAACATGTGGCTGCACTGTCACACATCTTTGTGTTTGACAAAGTGTCTCAGTTTGTTTCTGTTCTTTATGTTTCTGACTGCAATGAGCTGATGAACACTGATATGAGTCCAGAACCGGTCCAGAACCATCCCGGTGGCTCAAGCTTTAGTTTTAAACGTGTTCAAAACATTTCTTTGACACGATTCACTCCAAATATTCAGTCTCAAAAACCCGTCTGCTGGACTAGGACCACTGAGACCTGTGAGGTGGTCCAGTTTGACCTTGGTCTGGKTCCACAGAGTCAGAACCAAACCTGGGCTTTTATTTTGAAACCTAGGGTGTCAGACAACTTCCTGGAGTTCTTACCTTTAGTTTGACACACTTACAAAAAATAAAAATGTCAAAAGGAATTGAAGGAATTTTATGGGTGACTGTTAAGAGGTTAAATGTTTTCAGATGCTACTGGAGGCTATTATTTTGAAAATTGGGGTGTCAGATGACTCCTCTGGTCTTCTTACCTTTAGTTGACACCCTTATATAAATACATAAAAACAAATAAATAAATAAAGTCTTTTAAGGAATTTTATGGGTGACTGTAATGGGGTTAATCAACAAAGATGAAACAAACTTCAAGCTGCAGCAGAGTGAACAAAAATAAGTAAAATAAAATATYCAATTATAAGTTTTAGCCACATCTGGAATGATTTCTGGTCCTTAAAATAAAATCAGTAATTATTATTTTACAAGAATCCTGTAAGAGTTGGACGACATGTTGTCTTTGTGCCTCCTACAGCTGCAGTTTGCAGTCAGAGGCCCCTGGTCAGCGTCACTCCTACACTGTTTTATTTAAACCTGACTAACGGCGGTGCAACACAACCAGCGGCGTCGTGAATCCTGCTCTGGTGTCTGCCAGCCGTCTGCTTTGTGTGGGCTCGGACTCGCTGGCTGAGTCTGACGGACCAGTTTCCTGGCTSCCGGGTCCTGTCACAGCAGATTTATGCTTCCTGGACTTCAGTAATTCATGTCAGACAAAAAGTCCCCACGGGACGGCAATAAAACCTTTCTCTTTGGTAAATTGTTTTTACTTGAATCTGGTGGAAACAAAACTAGTTTGACTGCAGGGGTTCTCTCTGCGATTACATCATCGCTTCTTTTCAGCCTCTGTCCACAATTACAGAGTGCAGCGTTTTACTTTTCAACCAGAAAATTTGATTCATTACAAAACAGCCCGAAAGAGTAAAACAGCAAAAAACAGAAATAACATTTTCTACTAGATACAAAGTWAGAGCTGAACGGCTTCACTTAGCAGAAAAAGCTGAAATTTAATTGTTAAAGGTAAACAAAGAATATTGCGTAAAAACTGAACACTAGCCAAGAGCTAAAAGTTGCAAAACACTAAAGTTCAAACTGCTGGCTAAATGCTAAAATTAGCAAAACTCTAGCTATAAATCAAAAAAAGCAAACCTGTGAAATCAATAAATCTCCAGCTGTAAAACACGAGCTRAAAGTTTAAAGCTGCAAAACTAAATGTAGCAAAATGCTGTCCAAAACCTGAAACTAACACAGCCCTTGAAAAAATATTCAAATTATCAGCTACACAGGGGTGCCAGCAGGGGTGGCCAGGGGGGCCATGCCCCCCCTGAGAATAAGCC